AACCTCTCCCAGTGTTGAAGGCATGGCCTTGTGTAGAAATGCTCCCTGTGTAGACTGAGTGTGCTCTGGCAGTTTGGCTGGCTGGCTGCAGGCTAAGTGAGGGTCCTGGTGCCAGGGCTCCCTGTGTCTGGGGTTGTAGTCTGAGGGGCCTGGTTTGGGAGGCTCCTTGGTGGATACTTAGGTGGTTTGGCTGAGGGGTAGGGTTGGGAATGCTCTGGTGATCTGGGTTGGCAGCAGCAGATGGTGGCATGCTCCCAGGGTCTCCTGAGGTGTCACTGGTGGGGCCCATGCTGGTGGTGGGCAGGGTGGTACACTCTGTGAATCTTCCATGTTGGCACATGGTGGTGGGTAGGTAGGGTTAACCTGGTTGAGTGTGGCTGCTCATGCTTCCCTACAGGACCTTGACAGGTGCATCTGGGTGTGGGCAGGACTTGGAGGCTGCCTAGACCAGGTTCTGGAGTTTGTGTAAGTGCTGGGCCCTGCTTCCAGCCACACTATCACTGTGCAGGTGGAATGCAAACAATGGCATTTGCCAGTATCCCCAGTCCTGGAGAGAGTTCTAGCAGTTTCCCCTGTCAACTGGTGATTTAGCTTTGAAAATTGAGTTCTTTCACTTATGGTCTAGATACACTTTAAACCATGGCTTCACTTCTGTGCCCCAGGGCAGGCAGTTCTGAACCATATGCCTCCCCACTGCAGGTTGCTTTGCTGGGGGTGGGGCTCCTTCCCTTACTGTGTTGCTGTCTCTCCTGTTTTTTAATGTGATCTTTGTATCCCTTATTGTATAGTTCACTCAGCCTCAGTTCTTCCTCAGAAGAAATTGCTCTGTGTATAGGTGCAAATTTGGTGTGTAGGAGGGATGAGGTGGGTTCAGATTCTTTCTCCATGCCATCTTCCCCTCTTTTCCAGCAAGAGCCATTTTTATATTAATGAGTATCACCTCCTATTTCTGATAAAGGCAAGCAGTGCTCTGCTTAACAAAAATCACCCTGAGTAAGTATTTTGCAGTCATGGATTCTGAGAACAAATATAAAGGAAATCCCAAAGGAGAGTGTCTTAAAACTTTTTAGGAAGACAACCAAGTTTCACCCTAATTTCTTTTTACTTGTAAAACAGGTGCTTCTTTGCATTGCTAGGTAAAATAATCTGATTTTCTATAGCATCATATAGATTTTCTCTCCAGTTTTGAGTTGGGAACATGTTTATACTGTTAAGAGATAAAACTGTACCAAAGATAGTGTTGAGCTATGAGATTCTCAAAACTTCAAATCCTCCTGGGAATTACATACATTTTACTCTGTAGGTAAAATTTTACATTTTTTCCTGTTTTTTTTTTTTTTTTTGGTCCATAGAGCTCCTCAGCATGATAATCACAAAGCTATAGTCATAGTATAATTTTAAAGATGCTGAGATTAACCTTTTTTTATTCATTGATAGTATTATCTATATAGAATAAATATATTTTCCTATAAATATACTAAATCACTGCTTTAAATTGTATTTATTTTCCTAATAGTTTACATTCATTTAGGGCTTTCTATGTGCCAATTGCTTTTATAAATTCTTCACATACATTAACTCATTTAATCTTCACAACAACCTTATCTTACATAATATTTACTATATAATATTAATTGGTATCTCCAGTATAATTATTTAACACAGAAGTTAAATTGTACAAGTCAAAAAATTTGTGAATAGTGGAGCAAAAATTTGAATTTAGGCTATTGATCCTAAACTCTCAACTATTATGCTACATTTGTATACTGTCTATCTCACTAAGTAGGATGTATATACCACGAGGGCTAGGACTTGTTCATGGCTATACCTCCTGGGGCCCAGAACACTGCACTCAATAAATGTTTATTGAATGATGATTAAATAAGAAATTTATAAATAGAGTTATTTAAATGCCCTTTCTTACAGAAAAAAGTAATTTGTGGCTTTTGAGCATATAAGGGTATGTTTCTGAAGTTCTCAACAAGAGTTCACAAGATTGAAATAGTTTGGATTGTTTTAGTAAAATATTCTTTGAGGCTAAAACTCACTCACTTTTAAGATTCTAGGATTTCTCCCTATGTTGCAGTATCATTTTGCCTTTCATAGTTTACAACTGAAAATGTTAGCTGTTACGTGTAAAGTAACCACTTAGTTTTGGTTATTGCTTAACCTGGAATGTAAGGCTCCCAAACAGAACATAAAAATGCATAGTATTTTTATTTTATAATTAACATACTTTTGAACAGATCACATTACTGCCATGTATAATTTGGACTAAAGTATAGGGGTTTTTACTGAGCTTTTATTCTACCTGTTTGATTTGTACTGAACATTACATGACCATTCACTAGTAATTAGCCATGTTCTCACAGGATTTATTTAAAATGACCAAGTGCTAAGTTCTTCCAAGTGTAAAGCTCCAAATAATTGATCAAAGTATTATATGTAAAGAAAAGTAACATGTTTAGAAAGTCTATTCTTTAAAATTGTTTTGGTTTGATTTAGAAAATCAAGGAGCTTGTTTTAAGGTTTAACTTTTGAGGACAGGCTGTTTTAAAGAATAGACTATAACTTGGATATTAGGTTCAGGGGTAGCCCATAAATTAACAAAAATGGAAATGTTTTAGTGTTTCAGAACAAGAGGTTTAGAATCACATTGTCTAAATTTTGATTCCAGATCTGTAGGCAAATAACTTTCACTTTGTAGAATACAATATCCTTTGTAAAAAGCAGATAACAATAGCACTTCTTAGGATCCTTACTGAGATTAAACGAGGTGGTGTATGTTTGAAACCTGGCACAAAGTAACAAATAAACATTGGCTTTTTATCAGTTTAACAACTGGCCACCTAAATTCTCCCATTGTATTGTCATTGAATGGTCAAATTAGAATTAAGTAACTATCAGATAATTTGTTAATTAAATTGACATCGTACAGGGCTGGGGGATCTTTCCATACTCATATATATATCTGTGATTGTGCTTTTTTTGGGCTATATTGATTGCAGATTTCTGTGTAGTTGGGATTCTGCCACTAACATGCCACAGACTCTCAAATGATAATTTTCAACAGGCTTTCATTGTGTAGCTCCAGTCTTGCTCTATTTTAGGAGACTCCCCCCTCTGTACTCATCAAGTAAGGGGCAGCTTGACATCATGGACAGCTTACAGCTCTGGAAACTAAGAAACCTGAGATACATGTTTCCAGGTCTGCCATGAGTTTGGGCAACTCACTTCTCTGGTCCCCAAATTCCTTATTTGTAAAAAGGTAGGATTGGGCTAGAATGTAGAGGGCACCCTAGAGATCCATCTTATCAAGATGTATCTAAGTTTTTTCTTTCAATAGTCAAGTCATGTAATTAGAAGTGTATGTGTGTGTGTATGCATTAATGTATGTGTATCTCCCGAGGTTTTTATCAAAACCAGGCACTGATCAAATGTAAGATTAGGCAGTTCCTAAGTCTTTCTTTGCTGCTAAGGTCTTGTATCCAAAGCTGCCAGGTGTCACAACAGCAAGCTTGGATCATTTGGTAATTATAATTGTGGCTAAGCATCATTTATGATATAAAAATAATTAAGTCAAAACAAGAAACTAGGGCATTGTAAAGACAAACTGCCACATAGGTACCTTCGTAGACTGACTGAGGTCTGAATTATGCCTGATTCCCTTAGCCTAGCAGGGACCCCTCTGACTCACTGCCATAGACATAACTGTGCTGATACAGTCACATATGTGCATTTCTGACCATGTGACCCACTGTTGCCAAATCTTGGATTTCTCTACACTAAATGATTTTCTAGGACTAACAGCCTATGATTCTAAATCATAGATTAGCCCTGTCTTTTCTCCTTGATCTACTTTAAAAATAAAAGCAGCTATTGAAAAATAGAAAGCAGTCCTCCCCTTTCCTTTATCTCTGATATGCTCCCTCAATCTCAAGTGTGTTTTTGTTTGACCTTTGAGAGCAAAGTAAAATGTTCTATTCTTTAAAAATGCAGAATGTATGTATGGGGGATACTAATACAACATAAGAAGGCATATTTAGATTGGGAGACAAGAATGTATTTTGAGGTCAGCAATAGGAGATATAAGCTGTAAGTATGTGAATTCTCAATGATTTTTAAGTGCCTATTGGAAAAAATATGTGGAATTCTTTTCATTTTCTGCTATCTTATGAGGATTAGCATTACTTCTCTTTTCCTCCCCCCTCCCCCCTCCCCTGCCTCCAAAAGCTACGAAGTCTTCCTTGTTGGATGAAATGGAAATTTCTGGGCCTGTCTTTCAAAGCCCTTCACAGCCCAGCCCCCAGAGTATTTTCAGTTTTCTCTCTTATTCTCCCTCCTGTGCCCCAGGGGTCCTCATCACTCCCCACCTCATCCTGTGTTCACCACCTCTGCCTTTGCGCTCAGGCTGCTCCCTCGGCCTAGGATGCCCTTTCTCCTATCCAGGCTACATGACAAACTGCTGTCCCTTCCTGAAGACCCAAGTGAAATGTTGCCTGTCTTCATAAGTCACTCTGCTTCCTTTCTCCAGGCAGGTATGTCCCCCACTTGTGCTCCCATTCGTAGCACTTTAAATGACAGCATTATTCACACTGTGTCGTAGTTATGGCCCCACATTCCCCTACCGCTGCTCACCCCCTGGAGCACATGCTTTCACTACATATACAACTTTGGCATCTAGTAAATACATAGTGGATACTCTATAAAAGCTCATCAAAGTGAATAAAAATGTGTGCATTTATTGCAAGAAGGGAAATATCCTGACTCATAGAAAATGTTATCTTTTCATTGATTATATATAATATGGACAATACAGAAAAACAAAAAGGAAATGTAACTCACCCATATCCCTTCTCCCACAGAGATATGTTAACAGTTTAGTGTATGTATTTCCAGTTAAAGCAGTTTTAAGAGGAACTATGCTTTTTTAAATTTAGAAAACTATCTGTATGCCTAACAGATGATCCTAATTCTTGACTTTGCTATTTCTTTGTTAGCTCACAGAGAGAATCATCATCCTCTTTGTAGTGATCACCAGTCAAGAGGAAGTCCAAGGGAAATATGTGGTGTGTGTTTTATTCATCTTTTGGAATCTGTTGGATACAGTTAGGTAAGGAGGCAAAGTAATCTCAAAGCCAAAATGTTTACTACAGTGAAACCCCTGATAACTGCTTACATTTGGTTACTTTGAGTGAGAGAGAAAAACATAACCCCTTTTCAAATTACTGTATCTTGATATGGAAATGTATTTTTAGTGCTTTCCATAATGGGCATATCAAAGATAATGAAAACCTACTGCGGTATTAAAAGAGCAAATCAGCGCAGGTTTCCAGCAGAAGACTTGGCATAATGCCAGTTTGGAATAAACCTCACAGCTGTTGGCTAATGAAAGCATTTGCAGTTGCTCTGGTACATGTTACTCTAATAAGCAAAGCAAGACTTTTATTATATCATAGTCAGAAGTTACAAAGTTGGTTTCTGCAAATTCAAGAATATTTTAAATATAGGGCCTCATCTCTCTGGGGGAAAAAAAAACAGTGCCTCTCTACATACATTTTTGTATGCATTCCAGTGGGTTCAAATGACTTACTATAGTTCCTTCATGGGCTCATTGGGGATCCTTGGGCCTCAGCTTAAGAACCCATTATTCTAGGCCTTCAGTTTTCTTCTAATTCTAAAACTTTGCAACAAGGTGAGCATCGTCTTCTCTCTCCCAGCAGTGGTGTAAAGCAGTTCTCTTCACTCGGTGGCTCCCTCTGGGGAGGTGTCCTCACTGGCTACTCAGCTTTCACAAGTGAGAACTGCCCCTCCCACCCCCAGGGGAGAGCTGGATGAGGATAAAAAGAGCCCTAGCATTTTAGTCGAGGTTATGTAAATTTTTTATTACATTGTCAAAAACTTAAGTTGAATTAAAGTATTTCTAAATAATGGTTGAACCCTAGAGTGAATTAGAATGAAATATTTTGTTTAATTACAATGACTATAATTCTTTGAATAAATTATTTATTAAGTTATTTCTCATTTTTAATTGATAGTTGTGTAGACCTGGGACTTGGGACAAACTTCATGGAATTTTGTAGCCCATGATTTTCTGTTTGTGAGGCATGGACGTTGGGGACTGGCTTTCTGATGTCTTGTTCTCTAGGATACTCTTTCAGCATCAGTTCAACCTCAGATAAGCTCAGTAGACCATTGGCAAGACCTTGAAAATAGAAGTAGATCTTAGGACGAACCCCACCTCCACTACTTACTTGCTAATGATCGTGGGGAAATCACTAACCTTAAAAAAAAACAACAGCATTGAGATAATTCATAGACCTTTAACATTCCCCTTTTAAAGTATGAAATGTGTGGTTTTTCGTGCATTCATTTAACCATCACTGCTATCCAATTTGAGAACATTTTCGTCACCTGCATTAGCAGTCTCTCCTTGTTCCCTCCTCCTTCTAGCCTCTGGCAGCCACTGACATACTGCCCCTTAGAGATTCGTCTTGTGGACATTTCATATAAATGAAATCACATAATATGTGGCCTTTTGTGACTAGCTTCTTTCAGTTAGCGTAATGTTTTCAAGGTTCATCCATGTTGTAACATGTAACATTTCATTCCTTTTTATGGCTGAATAATATTCAATTATATTGATATACCACTTTTTATTCATGTGTCAGCTGATGGACATTTGGGTTGTTTCTACTTTTATGTCATGAGGAATACTGCTATGAACATCCATGTACGAGCTTTTGTGTACACATATGCTTTCATTTCTCTTAACCTAGGAATGAAATTCCTAAGCACCTAACCTTTTTGAAACTCAATTTTTTTTCTCAGAAAGAATGGGGGTGAAATTATCTTCCCAGCTTATCCTAGAATGACTTTTTTGAAGCAAGCATCATAGAACTTCCTCAGTCTGACAGACATCTATGAGAAATCCACAGTTACTACAATGGTTAATGTTGAAAGACTGGTGCTTTCCTCCTAAGATCAGAAACAAGACAAGGGTGGCCTTCTATTCAACATCATACTGGAAGCTCTAGCCATGGCAGTTAGACAAGAAAATGGTGTAAATGGCATCCATATTGAAAAGGAAGGAGTAAAATTATCTCTATTGGCAGATGACATGATCTTGTATATAAAAAATCATAAGGAATCTATTAAAAATGTTAGAACTAATAAACTATTTCAGCAAGGTTGTTGAATACAAAATCAATATACAAAAATCACTTGTATTCTATACATTTGAAATGACCTATCCTAAAATAAAATTCAGGGAACAATTCCATTTACAATAGCATCAAAAAAATAAAGTACTTAAGAATGAATTTAACAAAAGATATGCAGAAACCTGTATTAAAAACTATAAAACATTGTTGCAAGAAATTAGAGGTCTAAGTAAATGGAAAGATATCCCATGTTCATGGGTTGAAGATTTAATATTGTTAAGATGGCAATATTCCCCAAATTATCTAGTTTGGCGCAACCCCTATCAGAATTCTAGCTGCCTTCTTTGCAGAAATTGAGAAGCTGATCCTAAAATTCATATGGAAACTAAAGGAACCCAGAATAGTCAAAACAATCTTAAAAAAGAATTTAGCAGAAGACTCAGACTTCCCAATTTCCAAACTTGCTATAAAGCAGCAATCATCAACACTGTGATACTCGTGTAAGGATATGTCATAGCATAGACTTGATAGTCTAAATTCTTACATTTATGGTAAATTGATTTTTGACAAGAGTACCCAAGACCATTCAATGAGGAAAAATAGTCTTTTCAACAAATAGTGCTGGGGCAACTGGATATCCAGATGGAAAGAATGAAGGTGGACTCATGTACAAAACTTAACTCAAAATGGATCAAAACCTAAATGTAAGAGCTAAAACTATGAAACTCGTAGAAGAAAACACAGGGGTAAATCTTTGTGATCTTAGATTTGCCAGTGGAGTCTTAGGACACAAAAACACAAAGCAACAAAAGAAAAAAGATGTATTGGACTTCATAAAAAGTGGCTTTAAGTATATAAGATGCTTATATTCTCTTGCAATAAGAGAAAACAAGATAGGAAGCATTTTTTACTTAGATTAGTAAAGGTAAAAAAGTTTGATAATTACTATGTAGTGAGGGCTTGCATTGTTGTTACATAGTGCATATAGTGTGTATACACACAGGTGAGATTAAAAAATAGTTCTGAAAAATACTTAAGAAATCGGCATTGGTCATTGCCTCCAAGGAATATAATTAGGATCCTGGAATAAGAAAAGATTTACTTTTCCTCATTCATGTTTTCAAGGTTTTGGGTTTTGTTTTCAAATGTATGCACTGCCTATTCTAGAAGTTCTCAAAGTATGGTCCCAAGACCAGGGGCTTCAGCATCACCTGAACTTGTTTGTAATACCAGGTCTCAGTTCTACCTCAGATCCCCTGGATCAGATACTCTGGAGATAGGGCCTACCAATTTCTGCTTTAGCTAGCACACTGGGTGATTCTGATGTATGTTTAACAACTTGTAAGAGAAATAAAAAGATGTAAACTAGTGCACCTGTTACATCATAGAGGCAGGTTTAAAACTACCTGTTATACCCCCCAAAAAACTCCTAAGGCCAGTTCTTTAATAGATCACACAAGATGGCAGAACTACTTAATAAGCAAAGGGATGCCAAACAAGTTTTTGTAAGTCATATTTTTAAAACTCATTCCCTAGATATTCACAAGTATGTCTTTAAAAACCTTGCTGATTGCGCATAAAATGGGCTTAGCTTCTGAGTGAAATTGAAGTCACTAATCAAGGAAACTTGCAACTCATTTGCTGCTGGATAAGAGATACATTTTTCTCTGTTCACCTCCATAATTATCTACAATCCACCCCATTAGACAAGCCAGATTGACAAGGTTCCCTTCCCTGTTTTTTTTAACTTTTCTCCTGCTTATAAGAATTAAGGTATGAAATTTGTGAACTTCCTGGTTTTATATGTGTATTTAATGACATAATAAGGTATTTCCTTCATTTCTTTTCCAGACATCAGCAGAAAATGGTTATGAGCTCTTTGTCTCCCTTCAGGTACACTTACTGCATGTTAGCAGTCATAGGAATATCCTATGCGGTCTTGACATGGCTCAGTCAAACCCTGTGGATGCTGATTTATCCTTTGTGTGTCCTTGCAGAAGGTAAGAAAAGAGAGAGTTGCTGTATTGCTTATTGACAAAGGCAATCTAGTTATAAAGGTTCACTAAATTTTTTGATGATTAATGTTGCTACTGCTTAGCTGACTCAATGTATCTTTCCTGGCATTCTTCCCTTGATGCAAAGAACCAAAGTATTAACAAGCAAAGTTAAAGGGGGAAGCAGCTCTGCATAGCAGACAATATTGGATGAAAAATAAGGACATTTATGTACAGGCCATTAACTTCATTAACTCACTATGCATTTTGGGTAATCATTGAATCTTGCAATTTTCTCATCTAAAGAGGTTTAACATTTAATGATTCAGTGATTTTTTTTAGTCATTTTTAATTTTTTTCATTGATGTACATAAATGCACAAATCCTAGTGTACAGCTTGAGTTTTGACATTTGTATATATACTTATGTAACCATCATCCTGATCAAGATATCAAACATTCTAATTTTTTTCCCCTATAACCCCACCAACCTCCCCTATGGTAACCACCAGTTTATTCTCTGTCTATAAATCTATGTTTTACTTTTTAGATGCCATATGTAAGTGAAATCATATGGTAATTGTCTTTGCCTTATTTCACTTAATATAATACCTTATAGGTCCATCCATGTTGTTGCAAATAGCAAGATTTCATTTATTCCCATGGCTTAGTATTATTCCATTGTATGTAAGTACCACATTTTTTTCTCTGTTCATCAGTGCACATTAGGTTGCTTCCATATTTTGGCTATTGTAAATAATGATATGAACACAGGAGTGCATATATCTTCCCAAATAAGTTTTTGGTTTTTTTCTAAATTCCCCAAAATTGAATTGCTGTGTCATGTATTTCTCATTTTATATTTTTGAGAAACCTCCATTCTGATTTCCATAATGGTTGCACCAATTTGCAATCCTACCAGCAGTGTACTAGGGTTCCTTTTTCTCTACATCCTCACCAACACTTCTTATTTGTTTTGTTTTGTTTGGTATTAGTCATTGTGACTAGTGTGAGGTGATTTCTCATTGTGGTATTGATTGGCATTTCTCTGATGATTAGTGATGTTGGGCATTTTTTCATGTTTCTGTTGCTATCTGTATGTCTCCTTTGGAAAAATGTCTCTTGAGGTCATCTGCCCATTTTTTAATTGGATTGTTATTTTTATTTTTGGTGTTGAGTTGTGTAAGTTCTTAAGATATTTTGGATATTAGCACCATATCAGATATATCATTTGCTGATATATTTTTGTGTATATATATATATATATATATATAAAGGGTGCCTTTTCATTTTACTGTTTTCATTTGCTGTGCAGAAGCTTTTTAGCTTGATGTAGTCCCACTTGTTTATTTTTGCTTTTGTTTCCCTTGCCTGGGGAGACATATCCAGAAAAAAATTGCTAAGGCCAGTGTCCAAAAATTTACTGTGTATGCTTTCTTCTAGGAGTTCTGTGGTTTTAGATTTTACAGTTAGTTCATGAATTCATTATAAGTTTATTTTTTGTGTATGATGTAAGACAATGATTGAGCTACATTCTTTTACACATAGACGTCCAGTTTCCCAATACCATTTACTGAAGAAACTGTCTTTTTCCCATTGTATATTCTTGCCTCCTTTGTCATGTATTAATTGATCATATAGGCATGGGCTTACCTTTGGGCTCTCCATCCTTTTCTGTTGGTCTTTGTATCTATTCTTGTGCAGTACCATACTATTTTGATTACATTTGTAGTATAGTTTGAAATCAAGGCATGTGACACCCCTAGCTTTGTTCTTTTTTGAGATTGCTTGGGCTGTTTGGGGTCTTTTGTGGTTCCATACAAATTTTAGCATTATTTGTTCTAGCGTTGTGAAAACTGCCATTGGTATTTTGACACTGATTGCATTGAATCTGTAGATTGCTGTGGGCAGTTTGGCCATTTTAACAATATTAATTCTTCCTATCTGTGATTGTGAACTAGCATTCCATTTATTTGTATCATCTTCAATTTCTTCCGTTAGTGTCTTACAGTTTTTCAGAGTAGAGGTCTTCCACTTATTCCTAGTTATTCTGTGTTTTTTTTTTGATGCAATGGTAAATAGAATTGCAGCAGATTTCTGTATGTTGCAACTTTACTGAATTCATTTATTAGTTCTCATAGTTACTAGGTGGAGTCTTTAGAGTTTTCTATATATAGTAGCATGTCATCTGCAAATAGTAACAGTTTTGCTTCTTCCCCATCAGTTTGGATGCTTGGTCTGATTGCTATGGCTAGGACTTCTAGTACTGCTTGTATAAAAGTGGGAAGAGTGGGCATCTCCTTTTTGCCCCTGATCTGTAGGGGAAAAGCTTTCAGCTTTTCACCACTGAATATGATATTAGCTGGGGGTTTGTCATATACAGCCTTTATTGAGGTATGTTCCCTCTATACCTCCTTTGTTGGATTTTTATCATGAATGACTGAATTTTGTTAAATGCTTTTCAGCATCTATTGAGATGAGGATATGGTTTTTATCCTTCCTTTTGTTAATGTGGTATATCACATTGATGGCTTTGTGGGTATTGAACCATCTTATCTCTGGAGTAAATCCCATTTTGGTCATGGTAAGTGATCATTTTAATATATTTTTGAATTTAGGATGCTTGTTTTTTGTTGAGGATTTTTGCATAAATGTTCATGAGATACTTATGTCTAATTTTCTTTCTTTGTAATGTCTTTGGTTTTGGTATCAAGGTGAATTTGGAAGCTTCCTCTAATTTTTTGTAATAGTTTGAAAAGGATAGGTATTAACTCTCCTTTAAATGTTTGGTAAAATTCTCCTGTGAAGCCATCTGGTTCTGCAGTTGTATTTGTTGGGGGTTTTTTGAGTACTGATTAAATTTTTTGTTACTAGTAATCATTTCCATTTCTTCCTGGTTCAGTCTCAGAAGATTGCATGTTTCTAGGAATTTATTCATTTCTCTTATGTTCAATTTGTTGGCATATAATCTTCCATAGTTATCTCTTGTAATTGTTTGTATTTCTGTAGAGTCAGTTTTGTCTTTCATATCTGATTTGAGTTCTTTCTCTGATAAGTCTGTCTACAGATTAATTTTATCTTTTCAAAGAACCAGCTCTTTGTTTCATTGATGCTTTGTATTGTTTTTTAGTCTCTATTTAAGTTATGTCCACTCTGATCTTTATTATTTCCTTCCTTCTACTGAGTTCTCTTCTTTTTCTAGTTCCTTTGTATAGGGTTTGATTATTTGAGAATTTGTTTTTTGAGGTAGGCCTGTCCTACTATAAACATCCATTTTAGAAGTACTTTTGCTTCATCCCAAAGTTTTTATTTCCTTTTTAAATTCTTCATTGACCCTTAGGTTGTTTAGCATGTTGTTTCTCCTCCATCTGTTTTTTTCTCCCAGTAACTGAGTTCCAGTTTCATGCCCTTGTGGCCTAATAAGTAACCTTTCCTGGAGAATGTTTCATGTGCATGTGAATAGTATGTGTATTTTGCTATTCTTGGATGTATGTTCTATGACCTTCCCTAGGTTTGGGAGTTATATCTATATATATACACACACACACATATATGTTTTAGGTCCATTTGGTCTAATGTGCTGTTGAAAGCCAGTTCCTTATTTTTCATCTAGAGGATCTAGCCATTTATGTAACTGGGGTGTTAAAGTCCCCTTCTATTCTATTACTGTCAATTTTTCCCTTCACGTCTGTTAATATTTGCTCTATGTACTTAGGTGCTCCTACATTGGGTGCATATTTTTAGTTGTTAAATCTTCTTGCTGGATTGAGCCCATAATCTTTATATAAAGTCCTCCTTTGTGTATTTTGTGTGATATAGGTACTGCTACTCTAGTTCTGTCATTTCTCTCTTTTTCCATCCCTTCAGTTCTAGTCTGTGTGTGTCTTTACGTTCTAAGTGAGTCACTTCTAGGCAGCATATAGATAGATCCTATTTTTTTTCCATTCAGTTACTCCATCTCTCTTGGTTGGAGAATTTAGTCTATTTATGTGAAAGTAATTATTGATACATACTTACTGTGGTTTTGTTAAATGTTTTCTGGGTGTTTTGTCATGCTTCTCCTGTCTGCCTTTCTTGCTGTCTTACCTTGTGCATGATGACTATCTTTAGTATTATGGTTGGATTCCTTCCTCCTTTATTTTTTGTTTATTACAGGTTTTTGATTTGTGGTTACCATGTTGTTTATATATGACATCTTAAAATATAGCATTCTATGTTACTTTGATAGTCACTTAAATTTGGAAGCATTCTAACAGCACTACTGCACGTTTTATGTAGGTCTTCTTTAACACCTTTTGATTCCCTTAATTATTAGAAGTAGGTGATTTAATTTGGCCTTTTCTTTTCTTCTTTAAGTCCTTTTGCTACTTATAAGGTCAGTTTAGTGGCAGTGAGCTCTTTTATGTTTATTGGTGAAGCGCTTTATCTTTCCTGGAGTTCTGAATGTGTCAGCCTTGCCAGGTGGAGTAGTCTTGGTTGTAGGTTCCTCTTAGCACTTTGACTATACCATGCCACTCCATTCAAGCCTGCAGAGTTTATAATGGAACATCAGCAGCTGGTAGCCTTATGGGGTCTCCCTTGCAGGTGACTCATTGCTTTTCTCTTGCTGCTTTTAAGATTCTTTATCTTTGACAGTTTAATGATGAGTGGTGTAGACCTTTTCTAGTTCAACTTGTTTGAGGCTTGCTGTGCTTCCTGGACATGGATGTCTTGTTTCCTTCTCTAGGTTGGGAAGTTGTCAGCTGTTAGTTCTTCAAATAACTTTTCCTGCAAATATTAGGATGTGTGATGTGTTTTGAGCTTCCTTAACCTATCCTCATTTCTTTTTTCTTTCTCCTCAACTTTAGAGGATGTAGAAGAATAAATCAGCAATTTGGAAGACAGTAAAGCACTAGTCTGTTGATTACCTCTAGTATATTTTCATTTCATTCATTGTATTCTTCATCAGATAGGTTTTTAAAATATTTTCTCTTTATGAAGTCCTCCCTCCATTCATCCATTCTTCTC